CGCCCCTCCCAGACCCACGGACCCTCTACCCCCCCCACCTTGTCAGGATCGAGGGGGAAGTCGGCGTCCAGCAGCTCCCCATCGTCCTCGGGCTCCCCCTCGTACATCTTGTAGGTGGGGTTCCCGATCTCCACGTTCATGGCCCCGTTCGTCATCCGCTGGTGCTGGAAGCCCTTGGCCCTGGGGGTGGGAGCAGGGAAGGGCAGAGGGTCAGCGTGGCTGGCCACGGGCTGTGGGGAGCACGTGTACAGCATGGTCCGGGCCTCAGTGCCCGGGGTCTTGGCAGCCGGGCCCAGGGACCCCCCCAGAGAATCAGAGACCATGAGGGAGGGAAGGGAGCTCAGGGGTCACATTGAGTCCAACCCCCTGCTCCGAGCAGGACCAGCCCCAGCTACATCATCCCAGCCAAGGCTTTGTCCTAAAAACCTCCAAGGATGGAGGCTCCACCACCTCCCTGGGGAGCCTGTTCCAGCGCTTTACTACCCTCCTGGTGAGTTTTGCTAATATCCAACCTCAACTTGCCTTGCTGCAGCTTGAGCCCATTGCTCCTTCTGTCATCTGTCACCACCAAGAACAGACCAGCTCCATCCTCTTTGCAACCCCCCTGCAAGGCTATTATTCAATCCCCCAGTCTTCTCTTCTGCAGCCTAAATAAGCCCATTTCCCTGAACCTCTCTTCACACCAACCACTGAACCATGTTTGTCACCAATTCTCCAATGTGTCCACATCCTTTCTGTCATGGGGGGGCCCACAACTGGACACCGGACTCCAGATGTGGTCTCACTAGTGGTCTCTCAAATAGAGAGGAAGAATCGCCTCCCTTCATCTCCTACCAGCACAGCCCAGGATGCCGTTAGCCTTCTTGGCACCAAGGCCACACTGCTGGCCCCTATTCAGCTTCTTGTCCCTTGTCACCCCAGGGCCTTTTCTGCAGAGCTGCTGCCCAGCCAGTCGCCCCCAGCCTGACTCGGTGCCCCGGATTGCTCCAATCGACACTGCAGGACTTTGCGCTTGTCCTTGCTGAACCTCACGTGATTTCTCTGGGTTCGATCCTCCCGTGTCGAGGTCTCTCTGAATCCTGGCCCTCCCCTGCAGTGTGTGTACTACTCCCCCCTACCCCACTTCAATTCCCACAGGACCCACCGCCCCCCCCAGGCGCCTCACCCTTTAATGCGCCGCTTGTACCAGAGGAAGGCCAGCACGGCCAGCACAATTAGTAGGACCAGCACAATGCTGATGACAATGGGTGTTGTTCCTGTGGGCGGGAGGGACGGGAGGTTTGTTATGGGGGGTATGGATCCCACACCCTGCCTCTTCCCCACCCCCAGCCAGTCAGATGGGTACAGCCCCCTGGGATTTGGAGGGTAGGTGGTGAGACCCCTCTTCCCCCCGCCCCTGCTGGCTGGGACCCCCACGAGCGCCACGCTGCCTGGGGTCCCCACTCCAGGCCCCGGGTACATACGGTTGTTCTGCTGCTCGCTGATGGCGAGCTCCTCGCAGCGCTGCCCTGTCTGCCCGACGATGCATCTGGGGAGAAGGTGCGGGTGAGGGGCAGGGAAGAGGCGGGTAGTGAGGACAGGGGTCTGCACCCCCCAGGCCCAAGCCAGCCCCCAGCACTTACTGGCACTCAGGCAGCTGTGTCTTGGGGTTGATGGTGCAGGTGCCCCCGTGCAGGCAGTAGTTGTCGCAGCTCAGGCAGTTGGGGGCCACCTTGCCCCCAGGGCAGCTGCGGGCAGGGAAGAGACAGTGTCAGCAGGCACTGACACAGCCCTCAATGCCAGCAGAGCTGGAGCTGCCCCCTCCCCTCCACTCCCCCCAAGGCTTCCCCCTCCCCAAGTGGCAGGAGACCCGGAGTTGGGACTGGCCCCCAGCTGTGGCTGGGCACAGGCACCCCTGGGTGTCTGCAGCCCCAGGGCACCTACACGCAGGTGACGTCCCCGCTCTGCTTGTTGATGTTGCAGGTGCCCTCCTGGCAGCGCGAGCACTTGTTGTCCTGACAGCGGGCGCCTTCATACTGCGGCGGGCAGCGGCACTGCTTGGTGCCATCTGGCGCCAGCTGGCATATGCCCTCGTTCTCGCAGTACTCAAAGCACTGGCCTGCAGGGAGCAGGGGGTGGGGGTGAGCGTTGGGACCCACCCTGCACCCCGCCAGGGCGGCCCCTGCCCACAGTGCATGGCCCTGCTCGCCAGCATCTCACTCTTGCAAACACGCACTGCACACGCACACATGTATTCACATGCATGCACATGTGCACGTACACAAACGCACGGGACAGAACCCAGGAGTCCTGGCTCCTGGCAGCTCCCTCTCCAGCCCACCAGACCTCCCCTCTCTGCCCCCCAAATGCTGCCAGCTCCCACCAGCTGGACTCCCCCCTCCCCGGCTGCGGGACCCAGGCATCCAGCGGCACTCACGGAACTGGCACTTGTCACCACTGAATTCGGGCAGGCAGCGGCAGTTGGGCTGGTTGCCCTGGTTGACGGTGCAGGTGCCGTTGTGGTAGCAGTAGTCCATGCACACCTGCTGGTTGCACCATGGTCCCGTGAACCCGGTGGGGCAGCGGCACGTTGGCACCCCTGGAGGGGGGGGGCAGAGGCATCAGAGAGGCAGGGGCCCAGAGAACCCAGGTGTCCGGGCTACAGCTCCTCCAATGCTCTGCTTCCCCTCCGCCCCCCTGCTCCCTCTTCTGCATCACCCTGGGGGTCCCCCCTCCTTGCCCATGGGTGCTCACCGGAGCGGGAGGCGGTGCAGGTGCCGCCGTTCTGGCAGTACTCCCAGCACTGGTCGACCTGGCACTTGTCGCCGTTGTAGCGTGGCTGGCACCGGCACTTGGCCTGCTTGCGGGCATTGAGGAAGCAGCTGCCCCCGTTCAGGCAGACCAGGCTGCAGGTATCGCTGGTGGGCGCTGGGGGGGAGAGGGCAGCGGGGAGCTCAGCCGAGGCTGTGGCTCGGGCCCACACCCCCTACCCCCACGAGAGCCCACACGTACCGACGGGCGAGATGGTGGGGGAGGGCACAACCACACAGGTGCCATTGTCCAGCCGCTTGCCGTTGGGGCAGGTGCAGACGGGGCCGCTGGGGCTGAGCAGGCAGAGCCACTCGCACTTCTTGCGGTCGCATGGGTTGGTCACTGCAGGGGTGGGAGGTGGGGGGCGTGAAGGCCAGGCTAGGAGGGTCCTGCCATGCACCCCTCTGCTCCCGTATCCTCACCCCCAGCACAGAGTGTCCCCTCCCTGGCCCGGATCAGCCACACACACCCAGGAGATGCTGGCTTGGACCACCCTATTGGCGCTGGGGGTGCCCTGGGGGGCACTCACCATCCGGCTGCTTGTGCTGGTGGTAGAGCACCACGTCGGTGGCGTGGTTGAGGCCCGACGTCAGGTTGACCACGGGCTCACGTCCAAACTTGTGGATGCGGAAGATGAGGTTGTTGATGTAGGTGACGCCATAGATGTAGTCCTCGAAGATTTCGATGCTGAAGGGGTGGCTCAGG